AATCTTCACATAAACTATATTATATATGCATAAACTATACATATTAATCTTTATTCAAGCTATAAAAGTTAATCAGCGACTAGAAAAGTCCAAGGATTTCTCTTTTTCTTTTGATCTTTGATTTACGTCAGTGACAGACTTCAGCAGGTTTCACTTTAAAATCAGCGCTGTCTCTTTAAAACCTGATGCATATGACGCGGATCTGACACATATCCGATTTTCTCACAACTCTTTAAGGTCATTTAAGACTTTATAACTAAAACTACGTTTACAAAGTAACTCTCCAAAACCGTGCATTTTGACATAATTGTGTGCGATTTCGTGCGTTGACTCGCTACTGGTGAGCTGTCTGAAGCGGCTCAGCATATGTGTACAGCCGAACGCACAGCCTTTCAAACTATACTTCACTGCACCGTTTAGGCGGCGTAACCCCAGGTATGTGTCAGCACATTCTCGGGTTATGAAGAATAAAGAAGGGAAAAGTTAATCTTCCGAAATGAAGCAGCAATATCGTCTCAGGTAAAAGTTAGTAAAAACGAGTCTATTGACAAGCAGACTATCACACTGCTCTGACCTTATCAGCCCATTTGTATCCTATTATTTGATTCGCTCTTGTCGCTAATGACAGAACAGCTAACCAATCACGATGATCTTGTCTTCGAAATAGATTCTTTTATTCGCTTACTTCAGAAACAGCGAATCTCTTGTGTATTTTTATCAGCCATGTCAATATGGGGCTTAGAGGCAGAACTGTGTGTGTGTTAGTGGAAGCCATTGTGCAACAGTTATTAATTAGTAATGAATCTGACCTAGATGTGATGGTTGAGCGGTTGAGGATATTTACATGAGGATTTGAGCGCGTTTGGGTGAGAGACAGACAGCGGGACGTTTAAAAGGACACTCAAGTCAAAGTGGACAGAGGAAATCTCTCATCCTCTTTATATAAGAGCTGTCACACTCGATGACACTCATGAAACTGAGTGAGTGGAACTGAAAGCTCAGGGAGGAGAAGTCTCTCACACACACACTGGTATGTGTTGTGTGTGCGGTTTTCAGCATACCTGCAGCACTCTGACAGGTGTGAACCAGCACGTCTGTGTCTAATGGCTTGTTACAGCTCAAGGTGTCAGATGACTTGTGTTACCCTTACATTCTATGATTCATAGACGTTTTATTGAGTCAGAGCTCAGAACTGGATTTTACATGTTCTTCACATACTCTTGAACGTTCGTCAGACTCTAATGTACGTCTATCCTGGGATGAACAAGGATTCTGAAGAAATTACGAATGGCATTTGATCCTAGGGTGTTTTGTGTGGTTGTTTGGGAGTTGCTTACTGGGCTAGGCAAAGGCTCCACCTTTAGGTCTTTAGATGTGTTTTGAATCCAGTGTAAAATGGGATTGACCTGGCAAAAATCAGATTGCTAAAACCCCATTTGCACTGTCAGTGGCTTTGTTGCTGCGTGTTGGCAGTTGCTTGGTCGCTAGTAGTCATTCCTAGTTCTGGGTGCCCTAGTTATGCTTTTTACTGTGATGTTTTGAGGGATCATTCATGTCTGTAACATGAAACGGTGCGTGAAATGGGTCTGCAACAGATATGAAATGCGAATACACTAACATACGTGCTTGTATGTCCACAGTGGAGAGATGTTTAGCCACAGCTGTTGTCATGGCAGCTGAGAGCTTTCATGTAGAACGAAGTGGTGGAAATGTCACCAGAATGCATAATCCATAATCACACAGTCAAAATATCACTGCATTTAAGTAGTTCAGCAGAAATGTCTCACACCATGTGATCTGTGAATTTTTTTTCTTGAGGATTTTGTAGTGTCATAAGATTATTTTATGTCTTGAATGTTTGTTTTGAAAATGAGTTTGTACTGTCGAGGTCAATTTTATTAAGGTTTTTGAAAAAAGTCTCTTATGGTCACTCTATGAAATCTATTTTTGTCTATTTATTTTATTTTATTTGTTTCAGAATATTTTCTGAAATCAGTCGTAATGGTTTGTTTAATGGTTTATTTTAATGGTTTATATTATAAAAGGATGTCTAAACAATTGAATACACAAAAATCCAGCAGTAATAGTGTGCTATGAAATGTTTAATTTTTCTGCATAAAACTCTGATATATATAGTCGTTTAATTTTTGGTAAGCAAAGTGCTGCCCAACAGAGGTTTACAGTTGAAATTAAAACAGAGATGAAAAAGTGAGACACAAAAAAAAAAGATTTTAATAAAATGAAATTTTGCAATCATCACACTTGCTCATTTTGCATTTTAATATTCACAGTCATTTGTTCCTGTGATGGCAAAGCTGAATTTTCAGCATCATTACACCAGTGTCACATGATTATTCAGAAATCATTCTGATATGCTGGTTTACTGCTCAAGAAACATTTCTTATTATCAATGTTGAAAACAGTTGTGCTGCTTGGTATTTTTGTGGAAACTGTAATGTGTACTTGTTTTTAGGATTCAATGAATAGAAAGTAAAAAAAGAACAGCATTTGACTAATTTAATGCATCTTTGCTGAAATTATTATTTTTTAAATCTCACTGATCTTAAACTTTTGAACTGTAGTGTGCACTTACTGGTGACTCTCTTTCAGCCTGGACGACTTGGTTGATTGATAAATGAATAGGTCTCGCAAATGCACTTATAGGTGGTAAATAAACTTGAATGTGTGTATGTTTGAACAGCATTTCATAGAGAAATAAACTGGGATAAGCACTCAACACACCTTTAGTTCACATACACACACCACACCTTTGTCTCTGCCCCACTTTAACCCTGCAAAAAGTCAGTCTGTGTGTGTTGGTACTTGTATCTGTCTGTGTGAGGGTTACTGCAGTGCATATCCATGTCTTAGCTCTCAGGTTTGTGTTTATGTAAAGCTGCTTGGGGTTTTAATTCTCATACACACATTTCTGATTCTTGGTTGGTTCTTGTTACTGAGACTTGGCAGGATTATAGTGCTTGTCCTTGAAAGTAATTGTGTGGGGTTAACAAGAGAAAGGAAAATTTGAAATCGCATCATATGACCCCTTTAAAATAGCTAGGCAGAGATTCTATTTAAAACACGTGTTTAAAGGGTTTCGCAATGTAGCCAATCACAGACTCAGCTGTGTATTTCTGGAACGCAATGGCCAATCAGAGGTGATTAAGTTAGAATCCACTCACCGCAGTGCTGAAATTGCGTGCTCCCGAATCCTCTCATTTTAACACACGAAGTGTAAACATTGTGAAAGATTCATTGTGCATATGTTCATTGTGTTATAACAGAGCTTTATGAGATAGCGATTAACTGAGATGTCAGCTTTTAGTGATAATAAAGGAAGCGCTGCTCGCATACTGCCATGCCAAACAATGCACGCAGCAGCCCATGCTTGCTTTTATGTTAAAAATAACAGTGGTTTGTGAATGTTGATGCTTAGCCTTAATAACAAATATTTTATCGGGAGCATTTATGCTGGGATGTTGTGGATCTTAGATGTTACAGAACCATTTAATGTAAATTTCTGATGTACTGAAAAATATTCTATATAGATTACTTTTATGCGGGCTGGAGCGGGACAAAACATGAATGTCGCGGGCTGGAGCGGGCCCAGATAAGATATTTTTCGGAAAAATCCGTCCCGCGCAGGTCTCTAGTTTGGAATGCCTCTAGGAATGTGTTTTGAACATTAGCAGAGCTCTCAGGCTGTCCTTGGACATTTGGGCTTTGTCTCCCTCTTTCAATGGACATTCTGGAATTGGGGCAACACATTTTAATTGTCAGGGGTTTCATAAAGATGAGATTAATTATGTGCCGTCTACTGTGCCGTAAGTTATAGCCTAAATCTATTTAAATGTAATTTCATGTTTAAACAATGGTGGTGGTGGTCGTTGTTGTTGTTGTTATTATTATTATTATATATTTTTTATTATTATATTTTATATTTAGTCTTGTTCTTTTTTGTTGTTGTTGTGTGATTGTGTCCAGTTCATGCATCTGCCTGAGTGATCTTTAAGGGGCAGTGAGAGAGAGAATAGCAGACACCCTCCCTGAACACTACTCTTATGTAACATTCTTTTCATGTGAGAGAATGAACCTAAAGGCTCTTTACCACACTTTAAACTAGCTGAATATTCAATAGCCTTAACCACTGATCTGCTGTGTGTACATTCACCAGTTTATTATAAGAGGTGAGGCTTTTACCGCTAAACAGTCTCAAAGCGGTACTGTGTTGTATGGTTATGTTTTTCATAGTTCTGAACGAGAGAAGAACGAGTGCATTGTATCTATTTCCAGGAACCCAAAATGTCAAAACCTTGAAATGCTGAATAGCATTAATTAGTGGTGCTTGCCAAGGCATGCATCACTATTGCTATTGCTCATGCTTGAGGTTAGGGGTTTGTTTAAATCCCCAAACCTAAGCATGAAACCTTGAAACGTGTTTATGCTGTGGACTTGAAGGAGTTCTTAAAAGATGCGGCTTGTTTTAGTGTGGCTTATTTTTACCTGGTTGTGATAAAGCAAGTAATTTAAGATGTGATGATGGAAACCTTTTCATTTAATCATGTAGTAGATAAACTACCATTCAAACGTTTATTCAGCAAGGACACATTAAAGTGATCATTAAATTGATGAAAAGTGACTGTAAACATTTGTTACAACAGATTTCTATTTCAAATAAATGCTGTTCTTTTCTAGTTCTATAAGCACTATATATATAGTTTTTTTTTTATAGTTATAGTATTTTTGTTTCCACAAAAATATGAAGCAGCATAACTGTTTTCAACATTGATAATATTACGAAACACACTTGCTACCGAATAGCAGATTGCTAGCAACCACAAGTCATCCTATATGGAATTGTTATGATTCTAAGCAGAAGTAAATGTTTTATATGGTAAATGTTCATTAAGAGGAAAAACCATTTGAAACCATAACTTTTACAAACAAAATAAAGCATTTACCAGGTCTGAATGAGTACAATGTTGTGTGTGTTTATACAGGAGCACAGCAGCAGCAGTAGTTCCATTGGAAAGATTGAGCCCATCTCTCCCATAAGCCCAGTGCCCATGGAGCCCGGCTTGGACCTGGTTCCCTCTCGCCTCTCCAAAGAGGAGCTAATCCAGAACATGGACCGGGTGGATCGGGAGATCACCATGGTGGAGCAGCAGATCTGTAAACTGCGTAAAAAACAGGTAACCTTCACCCCAGCTATCGTAAAGCTGAATAGATTTGGATAGGATCCTAGAATGCATTTTCGTATATTTTTTTTTTTTTTCAGAAATAGTTGGCCTTCTAAAATAAGCACCAGGACCAGTTTGCAAAGCGTTTTATTTAGATGAAGACAAGGATTTCTTTCTAAGTACAGCTTTCAGAGCTGCAATAAGTAGATGCTTTTCATCCGCAGTGCAGTTAGTGTTATGTAATCTGGACACTCTAGTGTAGTAGCAATAGTAGATGAGTGTGTGCGGTGTGATGATTGTGTGGTTATTGCCTCAGCAGGCCACACGGCTACATACACACTTCCTCTCTTTCCTCTCGGTCTTCTTCCCTCTCTCAGTTTCTTCTCCCTCTCTCTTTTTTCTTGCCAGTGCCATTAGTCAGTGGTCTACTTCAAGCATTAATGCAGCAGTATAATTTTAGGTCACTTATTTCAGTGGAATAATTGCATCAAGTATATTCGCCTATTTTATGTCTTTTAATTTGCACAAGAGTAACTGTATGCATTATAAGGTTGCATTAGAATGTATTCTCAGATATTTCTAGTCATGATTATCAGGGCATTGCAGAAAATACATAAGCAGACCCCGTCGTCTTGTAAAACAGACCCCCTCATTCACTTGAGGTTTTGGAACGTGTCCAAACCGCTGCTCAATAAATCGAAGCCACCTGCACTCCATGGGCTAGTCCATTGAGGGGGTGATGGAGGATAGGAGAGGCAGTGAAACGACTTAGAGTCTGAGTGGTTGTATAAGTACAGTCACGCTACCAAGAAAAATGAACCTCTCCTCATCTGCCCCTCAACCCCATACTGTTTTCTTCTGAAAGATTTGGCATCTTTTTTCAGTGAGGTAACAGACCCCATCCATCGCTCTCCTCTCCCCTTAGGTTTCCTCCAAGCATTAAAACATCTGGGGCAATTAAATGGTACGGTAAACTTTAACGTAAAGCGAGGGAGTGATGGAGAAAAGAGAGAAGTGAGAATATCAGATTACCGTGTGTTTGACTGTCTGCGAGGGCGGCGGGACGGCTCGTTTATTTTCTTTAACTCTGCGCGCGCATTGGATTGGAGCCAGAGCTTCTGGGTTTCTGTGTGCATCTGTGTATAAGCTGTGAAATGATTGTTGATCATCAATCTTTGACTATAGTCTCGCTGACTCTCTTAGCTAAAGCATTAGTGCTCCTCAGCCAATCAGAGAGCTTTTCTGATATTAGCAGTGCTTCTGATGTGGAGATAGTGTTAATATTAGCCCACGTAATATTGCATTCTTGTTGTGTCTGGCTTCTTATTCTAGCAGGGTTGCATTAGTCCTCTTTTATCAGTATAAATAACTAAATATTAATATTGTATTAATATATAAATATTGAAATATATTTCAATATAGTTCTTATTTTATTTTTTAACCTTTGTCACTGTTGATTTATAGCAGTCAGGATTGTTAGGAAGGTCATACCCTGCTTTTGTTTTTTTTAGCAACAGCTAGAGGAAGAAGCTGCGAAACCCCAGGAGCCAGAGCGCACCATCTCACCTCCACCCAGTGAAGCCAAACACCGCAGCCTTGTCCAGATCATCTATGATGAAAACAGGGTGAGAACAAAAAACACTGAATCTGATTACATATATGCGCATATATATTGCATTAGACAAGTACACATAAATGTTAAACAAACATTGGTGTTAGGAGAAGCTCATCTGTGAACAGAAGCAGATAAGTCGAACAGCTGTGACAGATCTTAATGAGAGAAGCGAGCTGTTAAATGTGTAATGAGGTGCTGCAATCGATTGATGGTAATATTGTTAATGGCAAAGTTGTACATATTTCTTAATTTTTCTAAAGACAGAATTGGCGTTTTACCATCATTACCATCAGTGTTGCATAGTGTAAACAGTAAAAGATTAGACATTATTCCTTGACACTTGTCCAGTACATTACAACTGAAAAAGTCAATACAACTAATACAGAAAATCTACAAATTTCGATGTGAGTAGCATACCATTCAGGCTCCTTTGG